CCCCCCTCCTTGACTTGATTTGAATAGGGGACTTCAAATCAGTCTCCTAATGCAAAAAATGTTTCGAAATAAGATGTAATTTCAAGGTTTTTTTTAACCAATTTTCCTAAAGCACTGACATGGACTTCTCACTTCGAAAAACCAGCACTACAAGCTCCTTTTGGCAGGTACGGTAATACCTTGAAGATAAAGCTCTTTATGGTAAATACAGTGTAGTTGATCCAGGTGGAAAATTATAAGGCACGTGCATTTTTTTTAAAAAAACCCCAAACCACATGTTATTACAATCCTGCTATTCTGGATGACCCATCATAGCTACTGGGGTGGGGGTGGGGTGGTGTTCATGGTTTTGGACAAAAGGAATGAAAGACCACAAAATGCACAAAAAATACAGAAAACCCAAGAACGCAACAAAACACATCAATACAACGTACATACAACAGCAATGATCAAATCTTCTCATTTCTTTGCCCAACAAAGCATTGACAATTTCCAAGCATTCTTCGTTTTGCATTGGAAATACCTGACTTTATTTATATACACAGATGTTTATCACTGGACTGCCACAATATCCGCACTTAAAGGTGCTTTTTTTTTTTTTTTTCAGTGTTTTTTTAACAAAACAAACCTGCCAAGTAATTGTTGGAAAAATATGAGAGAAATAAGAGGTAACTAGAAAAATGCTGAACTAGAACAACATACGAGAAGAGGGTAAGAGTTAAGGAACATAGGAAAGCAAATGGCAACAGTTCTAGGCATTTATTCCAGTATCTTAGAAAAGAAAAATAAAAAATACTCTTCATTGCATCACCATTTGAAGATAGAAAAACAAATCTTTAGAGTAAGCCAAAAGAAGATGTGAATTGTCTTCAATAAAGCTGCTCTGCCCTACAAAACCTCCAGCCCCCCCCAACCCCAAAACTTTTCAGTGCCTTATTAAATTGCAGAACAGATCCCGAACGAGCGCCCTACGCGACCAGGAGCACTAAGCTGAGAGCAGGCATCCCCCCCCACACTCAGCCAACAACAAAAAAAAATAATATTCCATGATTATTTGAAATCCACCTTAAAGCAAATAGACCGGCATTTTTTTTCCATCTCTTGCTGAAAATTTTCAAGTTTCAAACACGAATCTGAAATTCAGTAAATGAACTAATGTTCGGCATAAAGAATGCTTTAACCAAAATAAGAAGAAATACAAAGGAAATGTTTCTCCCAACAACAAATCAATTATTTTGCCTTAATTCTGTCTATGTTTTGTTAAAGCATTTTATGCACTTTCAATAACATCAGATTGCAAGGGTTTTGGCAACTTTTTTTTTTTAATAAAAATTCAGACAGTGTTCTCTGTTTGCAATCAGAACCACAACCTTAGTGCAATATTATATTTATTTCTTACAGTAATTTTGGTTGCCATACAAGAGTATTAAGGATTGGGGAAAAGTGCAAGTTACAGGAGCTTGATTTTTTTAATCAGTCGAAATAAGAGGAATTAAAGCACAAAAATTACAGCAACATAGATAACGTGAACACAAGTTGTTACACAAACTATAGCGAGAAACATATTAATATCTAGAAAAGAAAAGAAAAAATGTAATGGAAAAATTATCAATACTTGTGGCTCATACACATAATCATCGCCAGATCAACTGGGTAATGCTTTTTAAGAACTGAGAAAAAAAAAAAAATCACTATTTTTATTAACTTAAGTACCACAAATAATTAACTTTTGTGATATGTAAATTCTGTAAATCAACAGTCACATCTAGTCATTTTATAATATATGAATTAAACTTAAAATGTTCTCAGACACCTAGGGAAAGGAGTCTGTGCAGTTATACACAATTTACATCTTGTAAGATTTTGGTATTGTATACACAAATATTACAGAAACTAGGCATGTAAATGCAATTTATTTAAATTACAGTATATAAACAAAAGTTGATCCTAAAACCCAGAATATCGTAACGTATTTCATAGATCTCTAACAACTTGGTTTTCACTATCATAGGAGCATGAAATAAAATGGGTCTTCTCTCCTCCCCCCCCAACATTTCCAGACTGATGAAAATACTCGGAGGCAACGTCGTATCTGTTACTATTGCTTTCTGTAGCAAAATCATCACAGAGCTAGAGACCGATTCCGCTTGGCAGAGGTGTATTTTATTGGTGAAAGTAGGTCCTCTCAGGTCTCCTCACCTTTACTTCGTAAGACACAATGTAAAAATAAACTATTTCGTTAGCTCTTTAATGCGATAAACCGCTTTTCTGCTAATTGTATTGTACCTATTCTTTCAGTACCTGAAAAGATACACGAGCAAGAAAACACGCCTGTGTACGAAAGGAACGACCGTCAACCGATTACCGTGTGTATCAGCACTCGTTCAACGTAAATTCAACAAGAAGGTTGTGATTAAAAAGCAGCTTAAAAGTCAACTTCTACATTTTCTTTGACTACCGCATTCTCTAATGTATTTTCTGGCACGTATTATAGAGGTAATATCAACTGTACCCAAAGAAATAAAAAAAAGAGCATGGCATTAGTGGTTTATTTACTGAATTCTGTCGTATCACCAAATGGAAGACAATGATGGCTAAATTACCATTTTTACACTTCTTAAAGTATTTGATGGCCTCAAGTTGCCTGTATCAACTATCTGAATGAAACTGCCGTTTTCTACACCACCTATGGAAAAATGCAGTACTCTTGGAAATAAAATGCCTTAGTACTCGATTTTTATTACAAGGTTACTCGGAACTTTCAAATACAAATATAGCGTAGTAACAGATGTTAAGTCAAAAGATTTGCTGTTCCGTAAAGGGGGCAGGAGGCTAAGTAAGTTGCTTTTTACGAGTATCCAATGCGTTGGTAACTATAACCACTTTTGAAGAAATATTCATCCTCCTTTGTAGAAGTTCTAGCAAAGATAGAAAATATAACACAGCTCTGCTGGTTCAGATGCATCCAAATGAGGTTGATTTTTAAAAAGGTCAAGACTTTATAATTATTCCACAGAAATAGTAGTAAACCACAAAAGTTTTTTTTTTTTATTTTTTTGTTTGTTTTTAACTTTCTAGCACTGAAGTGGCACAAAGGCTGCCCAGTAGACCAGCCACTTATTTTCTTAAAATATTGTGCTTATAAACTATCTGTACAACTATTTAAACTTGCAGTAAAGAAAGATATTTAAAATGCTAAACTTTATGTACTCATACTAGGGCTGTTGCAGACCTAATTAGACACTTGTTTGTGAGCAAAAGAATCACAATAAAAAAATTAGAGATAGGCTGGACCATGTCAAGGACCATATCAAGGAAAGAAAGTTCAGGTACCTTGCAAAATGGAAGAGAACCTGAAAGTATGGTAGGTAGGCAGTCTAGCCATCCACACACAATTTACCCACCTTGAATGAACATCTTGAAGATTATGTTAAGAAAGACCCACAAAACTCACAGATATTAAGAGGTGTTAATTACAAGGGGAGTTCAAACATGCAGAGAGAGACTTGTTAACTTTAAAAAAAAAAGAAAAAGAAAAAAACCCCCTCAGGTTAACCAAATCTGTGTGTTTCCCCCTGCTGACTGACGTCTCCTGGAAAGCTCTCGAGCTCAACTACCCCACGCCTACGTTTCTAGCGGCTACGCCCGGTTTCTAGCAGGGTGCCCGCACCTCTCCTGCCTCCTGGCTAACAGCCGGGCACAGGAATCCCTGGGGGCCGATGGGCCGCATCCAGCTCCCCCTGCAGCGCTCGGGCTGCTGCCCTTGTCAAGAAGCCAGTACCTGTTAACGGTGATAAAACCGAGAAACTGGACACCTACCCAATCCCCCTGGCCCTTGGAGCCCGTGCATTCTGAGGCACTACATACCTCCTTGCATCTTGGCATTACCTTCTTCCTTTTATTTATTTATTTTTTTAAACAAGCTGAAACTTTGCCATCTCTGCTAACAGGCTGAAATCCCTCTCTCGCTGCACACGCTGGCAACCTTCCCACCGACTTCAATGGGAACATTCATCCATCTTTTTCTTCTTTCTTGGCCTGATGTTCAAAATAGCTAAGCACTTACCACTCACTGAATTAAACAGCATCTCTCAGGGCTCAG